TATTGATCTCTATCCCAGTGTCTGAACCTAGAAGCATTCATATCACAGAGTAGGCATCCAATACGTATTTGTTCATGACCGAACTCATTTTTGTATGTCCTCCTGTTTTCTCGCCCAGTTCTTTGATTGTAACAGATGTGTAAGAATTGAATTTTATGTACTTACTAAAAACTACTTAATGTCGTCACCTGAGGAAAAACTACAGTAAGCCACGTTTTCATGGAGAAACAAAGACTAGAGAAGTCGTCACGGTGCAGCTTAGCCTTTTACTACTCAGTGCTGGGATGACAGACTTCCACGGAGCTCGAAGTGTATCACACCGAGCATTTGCTTCAAGGATGGAGTTACAAAATGAACCGTGCTGGATACACCGTCCAGCCCGGGAGTGTCTGAGCAGGGAGGGGCGGGACAGCCCCACCCCAATGGAAGAACACCAGAACGGTGCCTGCAAACCGCAATGCCCTCCAGTTGGGTCCACAGGGTCAGTGGCTATGCTTAAAGCTTAAAGCCTCTGCTAATCCCCCCAAGTTTTCCTTCTCATCAGTGCACTTCTCTCACTTTTATAGTACTGGTTCCTCAGACAGACTTTTGTCCTTTGTTTCTAGGTCTTTCACATCAGAAAACTCAACGCGGAAAATAAAATATACAGTTTCTAATCATCCACTCTCTTTCGTTCCACGTATAAGAGGCTGGTTTTAAAAATTCACCTTTTCTGCCCTGGCTGGTGTAGCTCAGTGGATTGAGTGCAGGCCTGCGAACCAGACAATTGCGGTTTGATTCCCAGTCAGGGCACATGCCTGGGTTGCAGGCTGGTTCCCTGAAGGCCAGTTCCCAGCAGGGGACATATGAAGGGCAACCACACATTGATGTTTCTCTCCCTCTCTCCTTCCCTTCCCCTCTAAAGATAAATAAATAAAATCTTTCAAAAAAATTCACCTTTTCTTTGTCACCAAATGTATATATTGATGCAAAAGCAAATGTCTGGAACTGGGCAAGTTCATTTAATTTATACTTAATCAATGTAAAATTACCATTTCCAGCCCTGGCTGGTGTGGCTCAGTGCATTGAGTGTTCTTGACCTGCTAAAACCAAAGGGTCACTGGTTAGATTCCCAGTTGGGGCACATGCCTGGGTTGTGGGCCAGGTCCCCAGTAGGGCGTGCGTGCATGACAGACAACCACACACTGATGTTTCTCTCCCTCTCGTTCTCCCTCCCTCCCCCTCTCTAAAAATAAATAAATAAAATCTTTAAAAAATGAAAACAAAACGATCATTTCTACACTACAGTTGATCTTTCAATAACATGGGATTGGGGCGCCAACACTCTGCACAGTCAAAAGTCCGGGTATAGCCCTGGCCGGATGGCTCAGTTGGTTGCAGCATCATCCTGTACACCAAAAAGGGCTGTAGGTTCCATTCCCAGTCAGGGCACCTAGTTAGACTGCAGGTCTGATCCTTGATCAGGGCACGTATTGATGTTTCCCATGGATGTTTCTCTCTCACACTCTCTCTCCCTTCCTCTCTCTGAAATTAATGAGCATGTCCCTGGGTGTGGATTTTTAACGCATGCCCCTTCGTTACTGTCTTCCACTATCTCTTGAAAATTAAAAAGGAAAATCTGTGTATAACTTTTGACTCCCCCAAAACTTGACTACTAGCCTGTTGTTGACTGGAAGCCTTACCAGTAACATAAACAGTTGATTAACACATACTTTGTGTTTACTGTATTCTTGCAAGAAAGTAAGCTAGAGAAAAGAAAATGTTATTAAGAAAATCATAAGGAATAGAAAGGATAATTACTGTATTTATTGGAAAAAAATCCACACATAAGTAGACCCACTCATTTTGAACCCATGCGGTTCAAGAATGAACTGTAATTTTAAGTGACTTTCTCTAGTCCTTTAGAATTTCCTTGAGTCCTTCCTTTTATTCTATTCAGTAGCATTGGTAACATCTTTTGAGCTAAAAATACAAACACTAATCATGATGAATTCTTTTGGTTATTTTACTTTTCTTGCAAAACAGATAAGTACATTTTCTAAGCCAGTGATTTTGACTCTGTCGACACATAAAGTCACTTCCAGAACTGTTTAAAAAACATGAATGCCCCCAACCCACCCAAGACCAAGTCTCAATCTCTGAGGGCTGGACCCAGGCAAAAGAATTTCTCTGTAAATCTCCCCCAGTGCTTCTAAAGTGCCACTAGAGTTAGGGATCAAAGTCCACAAGTCACAAAGAAGTAACGCAGTAATGGAAACAGCAGCAAGAGGGCGCGGATCCCAAACAGACCCACTGTGGTTACTTCCCGGAGCAGATTGCTGCCTTGCGTATAATTAGTTGACGTGAATACTATATTACATGACTGGATATAGTGATTACTTTAGATAATAAGAATATGATTCAAAACATAAATAGGTTGAACAGCACTCGAAGATATCTTAAAGAAATTATTAGTCAAAAATCAAATTCAGTCACACTGTCTTCTTTAGTAGTCTGTGGCTTAAGAAGTTATACAAGTATATTGCAATATTTCCCCCTTTCCCCGCCTTTCACTGTAATTAAAACAGCAAAAGCAAAATCAAAGGGGGAAGAAACTCCTTGTTCTCTTTTTTCTGAGAAGTGATTTCCTACACAGTCTCTTGTGGTAGTGGGTCATGAAGAAGAGAACGTTGGGTGATCAGGATCCATGCACGTAGGGAATCCAGACATTCCACAACAAGGGAATGGGTGGGAATGCACCTTCCATAAAGAGGTAAGAAAAAGAGACACGTAGGCAGCCCAAATGTAAGAGGGATGGACGATGGGTACTGCCTCACAGCACGGGCACTATGAAAACATTCTGTTCACACACTGGACTCCGACACAGTACTTTAGTCACGTTGAATATTTCCATCACTAATGCTCATGTGAATTTCCAAATTAAGCATTTAAATTTCCCAAAAGTAGAATGATGACTGTAAAAGAACAAACTTACATCCTATAAATGCTACAAAGCAATTACAATTTGGATAAACAGATATATACTGATTTGGCTGAGGGAACCTTGGCTAAATTCGGATGTTGTTCATTATTTCCTGTAACAAAAACAGATCTTTCTTCAGTTCTATCATTTCTTGAATAACTTTCTACCATGTTATTTTGTTCAGATACGTTTTCAAAACAATGGTTGCTAGGATCTGAACTGGCACTGGAAAAAAACAGTTTTTTTTGGTAACAAAAAGTAATAAAGAAAATTGGAGTATTACATAAAGCATTATGATTGCATCCAAATCACTTGAAAAATCTATGTCTAATGATCCCAATTTACTTCTCCTGCCAGATCCTTCAAAACTGGGAAACAGCTTTTTTGAAGTAAATTCTAACTTTTCAATGTCTTGATTAGATATTAGCCATTTACTCATATATGTGCTTGCAGTTTATTAGTGACTGAACCACTATCTTAAATTAGCAATGTTTCATCAATTTTTAACACCACTTCCTAAATGATATACTACCATTTAATTTCTAAATCATCATTAGTGCTTGACAGCTTTCTTTTATACTAATGGTTAAATCTTTTTTAAAAAAGGGTGATGTTTCTAAAACCCTGATATTTCTTTTGAAATTCCTAAGCATTAGGCAGATTAACTTACACCTGTCTTTGAAACATTATTGTTTCTTCAAGACTGAATATTATACTTTATCTAAATTGTGCATATGTTTACTGTTTATATATCATCTTCATTTTTAAGGTAAATGAATATTCATTTGTCAGCAGGAGCATCTTCTTTTTCAAAGATGAGTCATAATTTTTTTTAAAAAGAACTTTTAAAAAAATTTCCCCAAATTTAAGAATTTACTGTTTAGAACCCAAGACCAGCAGTTCTGCTGTAGGGAAATGGTAAACTTATTTTAAATACTTCAACAGTATTAATGTGGACATTTTTTCTTTTGGATTGATATAATTATTCTTGTCACATTGAACAAAGTTCTGTGTACACAAGATTGATTCCTTTTTCAACTCTTTCCTCCTTGATCTTGAAACACAGTCCCCACAGGTGGAAAACCTCAGTAACTTTCAAGAAGAGGCACACCTTCACTTTGACAGGTAAGCAACAAGAATAGTGAGGCTAAGAGAAGAAGAAAGAAGGTCCTTCTTGCAGAGCCAGGTGTACCACAAAGCTCAATTAGTTCACACACTGAGGACACTGCTTTTTATAAGTTTTTTTTCTCCACTGGGAACCGTTTTCTGAGTCTTCCTCCCTCTGCTCTCCATCCCTTGGGTCCTAACCAGGTTGTTTTTTTCTTCTTCTTCTTTTTTTTGCTTATGAGAACAAAAAAAGTGGCCGGGAAAGGAATATAGGTGCATTTCACGGAGGGTTTTCTTTTTTCAGTAAATTTTACCGCTCTCCAAATGGCTCCCAATTGTCCCCCAGATACATAAAGTCATTAGTCTCCTAGACCTTTTTGGGAAACTATTTCATGAAAACTGAGAGTCCTCTGTCCCAAAGGACCTATGCAGAATTTCAGATTTTATTTTACATCATTTGTCGACCTCGAAAAGCTCATGTCTGGACCCCAACTTAAAAACGTTTGTCTAGAGTTAAAAGACAAGGAGCCCTCCTAACACAAGGGGCTGCTCGGACCTTGACCGGAGTAGGTGGATCCCTGTTACAAAACTGGCTCTGATCGCAGGAAAAGTTAACTTTACGCTCCCTGAATTTCTCCAAAGCCCACCCCGTATGCACCTGGGCCAAGGCCTCAAAATATGAGGTCAGGCAAAACAAGTGTGTGAAGAAATCCTCAGGGCACAACGGGTCTCCGCACACGAATTCACCTAAAGGACCGGCCCGAGGATCCCCAAAGTACTTTCTGCAGGTTTGCACACAGCCTCCGACGCCTTGTCTCCTCCTAGTAACCCTAGCATACTCCGAGCCCAGCCCGCGCGGGGTCTACCACCGAGGCTCCTCTATCCTCAAGACCTCCGCGGGAGCGCAGCATCCTTCGCCGGGCGTCCTTACCTTGGGGTTGGTCAGGAGCTGGTGCTCGTCGCTGTGCAGCAGCGCCCTGGAGTTGGACTCCGAGTTGTTCACGTAGACCTGGACGCAGGGGTATTGCGATGTGCCCCTGCAGTCGGCGCCACAGGTGAAGGTGCACTCGAACACCTCGCCGATCTGCTGCACCGACAGCACCGTGCAGTTGGCCGCCGTGGCTTGCAGATCCTGCAGCGCGGGGCTGAGCCAGCAGAAGCCGAAGATAAAGAGCAACACGACACCGGAGATGATGAGAAACAAGCCGAGCCGGATGCTTTTGTCCTCGGCTTCCGTGTACTCGTAAGCCACCCGGAGCTTCGCCATCGCCCCCCACTCCCCGCGGCTGGCGCGCTCCTCCCGCCCACCCCCGCCCCCGCCGCCGCCGCCGCCGCCGCCGAGCCCCGCTGCCTCGGGCGGGAGGAGCCGCCGCCACCGCAGCCGCGCGACAGCAGGGGAGTGGGCGGCCGGGGGAGCGCGCGAGAACAAAGGGGCGGAGGCCGGTGACGCCCCGGGAGGCGGCAGCGCCCCCACCCCCTAGCCCCGCCGTCGCCCTTGCCCCTGAGGCTCGGGGTGCAGCCGCGGCTCACTGCCTCCTGCACCCTCGGGCGCGAGGAGCGCGCCGGCGGCTCCTGCCTCCAGCGCCCCCTGCCAGCCTCCGCCCGCGCGCTTTCTCCGCCTCCCCCACCCAGCCTCCGCTCGCCCAGAGTCTCCCTGTCTCCATCGCCCGTGTGCCGCTTTTCCGCGAACTCGCCCGGCACCTGCCCAGAAGGCTGAAGCGGCTGGGCTGCAGCGAGCCGGGGTAACCCCCGAACCGGAGGCGGATCCGCCCAGCCCGCCCCTCCCGCCCCGGACCCAGCCCTCCTGCCCCGCCCTGCCCGGGGAGTCTCGGTTGGGCAAAGCGGGGCGAACACTGACGATCGCGGCAGGTGCTCGGGATCCTCGTTAAATCCCCTTGGAGGGACGTCCGAGAAGAAGCCTAGGTTCAATGTAGCATAATTGGAATGAAAGTTATTTTTTAAAAAAGCTAAAAAAGAAAGCAAACAGTGAGAAGGCGTAGTGCAAGCCGAGCAGCGGGAATCTTGAACTCCAAATCAGGATGGTCATCCAACCCAGAGAGTGAGCCAGCGGGCAAGCAGCGGGCGCTGACCGGGGAACCAGCAGCCGGGACCGGAGGACTGGGGTTGAAGACCCCGCGAGAGGCACGCGCTGGGGCGCGCAGGGGGGGAAGATGCTGCCACCAGTACCCACGCTACTAGCGGGCACGTGGCGGGCCGAGGGGCGTGACCTCGCTGCACCCCTCCTCCCTGCCCACCCCACGCCCCCTCAGCGTGCGCGGTAACGGTCCAGCCCAGGCTCCTGCAGCTCCTAACCGTCCGGGCCGGAAGCCGGCGCCCCCGCGGCCCCACGGGCTGCAACATCGGAGTGAAAAGAGGCTCGATCAGGCAGGGGTTGCCGTGCAGGCTTCGCGTGTTAGGGGCAAGGGCCTACGACTGGCAACGGCAACGCCACCTGGATCCTGGGGGGTACTCGCAGCAACTTAGGTCTCCCGCAGCTGGTCAACCCCAACTCGACTTGCCCCAAGGCTTGGGACTGACTGATTCGGGACAGAAGAAAACTGGAGAAGCTTGCAAGCCCTAGAAGGAAACACTACTTTCCCCATTAGGACCTTCCCCTCGCTCCGGGACTCCGGAGAACAGAACCCTTTTCAATTCTGTTTCCCTCCTTAGGAGTTTTTTTGCCACTCTTGGCCCACCCTGGGATTTGTAGATGAGCTTTCCACGAGCAATGTGCAAGGCGTTAGCGGCGTGCAGACCCACTTTGGGACAGGTACCGTTTCTACCTACAGCTGCGTTTTCCTCTTAATTCTTCCTGTTGCCCCCCCTCCCCCACCCCTATCTCCCCGTGCCTACCAGCAGCCAATATTCATGACTTAAAAAAAAATTCTTTTTTCCCTAACCACACTTCTATTCTAATATCAAACTCGAGAACTTTTTCGACCTACGTTTAAAAGAATTAAAATGTTCACTTCCTTGCAAAATATACAAACATATTTTCTTGATTTGCAAGGCCTAAATGAATATACCCTTGAATCAGTTATGCTCCTGATGAGTATGAAAACACCCAATCATGGAAAACTTGACTTCTTTCTTGGATTTCGAAGGTTACTTAACTGGTACTGAGTACCTTTCAGTTGCAGTTCTGTTACTTCTACATTCCTGTATTTCAGCAATTTTCAACCTTTTTTCGTTTCAGGGCACACAAACTAATTACTAAAATTCTGCAGCACATGAAATATATATTTTTGCTGATCTGACAAAAAACCAGGCACAATTTTGATGCATTCACACTGGACAGCTATCGTTGTATTTACTGTTGTCATTTTTTTAATTTGACAATCTAAGGGAAAAGAGGTCAGTGTCCCTGACTAAATAGTCAGGTATTGCATGTTTAAAAATTCTTGCGGCACACCAGTTGAAAATCACTGCTCCGTGTGGTAGGTAACCATATTTCCAAAACAGGGGCAAAGAAGGTTTAATTACAGGAAGACCCTAAGTGTTTTTCTTTGTAAATTAAGAAGTGTTTTTCAAATCAGTAAAAATTTTTACCTTAATATCTTTCATATTTTGAGAGTAGGTTTCCTTCTTTCTTTACCTAGGGATTATATCATTCTATTCCCTTTCTGTTGGCATAGAATGCCAGAAAGACAATTTGTTAGTGATTACATTACCTGAAAGGTGAGTTTAATAGACAAACCTGAGATATTTCTTCAGTCTGAATCTCCTTCTTACTGCAGGTTATAATGATCTCCCTTTTCAAGAACGCTAAAGCCAGTCTGGATATGAGGAAGTGGGAGGTCCAATTACTCTAGCTTGCTATATACTGAGCAACTTAATATTGAGGCAAAGTTAAGTCCTATTAGTGCTCATAAAACACAGGGATGGGGCATCAAAAATAATTTCATGAATACGATTAATTTTTCACTGATTTCAGAGCCTGAAGGACTCCGTGAATGAACCCTCTTTATCAGAGATGGTCTTCTAAGTCTAAAAAAAAAATCAGAAAAATTCTGTCTAAATTTAACCTAAGTATTCAAGGGCTTTTCAAATCCATTTTCTGAGTTCACCTTATAATGATTCCTAAAGTATTTGAAGAAACTGTTGCCATCTAGCCTTCTGTTCTTTAAACATTTACTTTTCTTCTCTTATTTCCTATTTTTAAATTAGCTGGTTTATCTTCTAAACCCTTTCATTATCATTATCATAACTTTCTTACTGAAAAGTCAAACATACCAAAAGACTCCAAATTAGGTCAGTTTTTATTTTACCCTTAATACAACACCGTGTTTGTTATTAGCTTCGTTTACTTGAGGTGGGGTTACTTTATTGCACAGCCTAGGAAGATTGAGTATTTCAGCCCCTCGGGTTCTGAAAACAGGTCACCATTAATTAAGTTAAAATAGTAGTAAGAATCCCAGGGACCTGCTCTCCAAAGACTTTTAGCATCTTGTTTCCTGTGGAGGGCAGAGGCAGCGCACACACATGCACGCACACACAGTCTTGTTTGCATAATTTTCTGCAAATGAAAAATGTAATACTCAGACCCAGACTGATTATTTGATGTACATCACTGTGTGTAGCAATGTTTTCAGGAGAATCATAGCCACACTTTGATGCAATTCTTTTTAAAAGAAAAAGACCTCTCTAGCCCTGGCTGGGTGGCTTGGTTAGAGTGTTGTACTGATACGCCAAGGATGTGAGTTCAATCCCCGTCAGGGCACATACAAGAAGCAACGAGTGAATGCATAAATAAGTGAAACAACAAATCAGTGTTTCTCTCTCTCTCCCTTCCTTTCTAAAATCAACTCTTTAAAACTTTTTAAAAAAGAAAAAGACCCATCTAATAAGCAAGAACATTAAAACCATTGTTATAATTTGTTTTCATGATCAATATTCTTTACAAAGTCCTGTGACTGATGTTAAAGTTGCAATATATTGTACAATTTCATATGTATATAAACCTTCATAAAAGAATTCTAAAAAGAATTATCATAAGGAGGACTTTGGTATCCTTAGAAGATAATTTAGAACATGTTGGGAAAACGTTTATACACTTTTAAAAACTGGCACATTGTGAAGTTTTTCAATAACGAGCTGCTACTGTACACTTCAATAGCTAAAATACATAAGGGAGAAAATTAATATTGTTTCGTCACCTTTTCTTATTGGAATTTACATTCTGGATAGATTTTAGACATTTGCAACCAGACTCCTGAGATAAGAATAAATGAAAACATGAGTGATCCAACAAAGAAAACCTTATAGAAAAATGTTAGTCTTTTCTTTTTCACTCAGTTTATATAATTATAGATTTTGTAGCTATCACAAAATTAAATTTCCTTTTCGTTTGGCCTTAACTTCAAACTGTTTACAGTTGTACTAAATCATTTCCAGTTTAGTGATATCAGAAAATTAACTTTCTTGTTATGCTTTATTGTAAATGTTAAATATTTGTCATTAGCCTCAGAATTTTAAATTTGAAATAATGTCCTATATGGCCATTATTTTTTCTAATTAAATTTTTTTCCGTCCATATACCTTATTTTTTTTAAATGTTTTTTTTAAAAATATTTTATTTATTTATCTTTAGAGGGGAAGGGAAGGAGAGAGGGAGAGAAACATCAATGTATGGTTGCCTTTCGTGCATCCCCTGCTGGGTACTGGCCTGCAGGGAACTGGTCTGCAACCCAGGCGTGTGCCCTGACTGGGAATCAAACCTCGATTGTATGGTTCGCAGGCCCGCGCTCAATCCACTGAGCTACACCAGCCAGGGCTCCATATACCCTATTATATTGAGTACATAATTATTAATAAGAGCACTACTTACTATTTCTAGATATTTATAATCAAAAGAGAAAGGGATCTTAAATATCACCAGGCTCAAATTTAAGCAGGAAAGGAAGTTTCTAAAGTCTTTGTATTTGTTTGAAATAGTGAAGAATGATTATTAAAAATATTCAGTTTATTATGTGGCTCAGTTGGTTGGAGCATTGATTGTTACACCAAAAGGTCACCAGTTTGATTCCTGGTCAGGGCACAATACCTGGGTGGTGGGTTTGATCCCTCATTTGGGGTGCGTGTGGGAGGCAACCGTTCAATGTTTTTTCCCTCACATGGATGTATTTCTCTCTCTCCAAAAAAATCAATGAACACGTCCTCAAATGAGAATATTCAAATTTGTTTTGCATGCGACCTTCATGTGTGCAATTGAGAAAGAAAAGCAGAAAGCAGAGGTAATCACTTCTTGCTAGATTCATTAATACTGGGAGTGCTGGCTAGATTTCCTGTTCTCACCACCTGTTAGGTTAGTCT